TTTCTCCCCATTGTTAAATGTTGACCAATTTGACTGTCTATTATCACTGATAAAGAAAAATAGAGATCCTCGCCCATAGGAGCTCCAATATGTGTGTTGGGAGGGGGAGGGGGAGGGGGTGGGGGTGTACATATCATCCAAATACCTTCTCGCCAATACGTCTCCACCACCACCACCACCACAACAGTGAAATGATGGTTGCTATTAAGATCATACCATTTTTGTCAAACCACGAACTTTTGGTTGTTATTGGAGAATCTGTAATCAAGTCCTAATCTGAGAGGGTGGTTTTTATGACTCAAGGCAAAGAGTGGACCAAGCTATGCTTCAAATATATATAAATGGATTTTTTTTCTATACATTGATATAGCATAATATCTAAATGCCTTGAGTCAATCCAGTTGTACTTCTATGCCAATTGAACACAAAGCAAAACGAAAATGAAGAGTTGAGTAGATATTCATGGTCATATCGTTATATGTTAAATTGGTAGTTAAAATCCACAAATTAACGTACAGATGTTCTGCCATCAGGCCTTTTGACAGTCTTCCAGCGAACGATATTTTGGAGAGGGATATGCCTTTTACGTCCAGAATTGTCTATCCCAAAAAAGTCCTGTTCAACATATGTGCTTGGATCAAATGGCTTGGGATCAATGGCCACTAAGTTGGAGAGTTTGAGCATATACATCTGCAACCATGAATATAAATAATAAATTTCTGAATATGTTAAAACACATGCAAAAAAATACACTTAGATTATAAAGTGGTTCTTAAATCCAGCTATAGTCTAAAAGATATCAATTTATTTTATCTTATCCCGAAGCGATTTGCATTAAAAAATTCATTCCTTCATTAAAATCCTCTCATAAAATTTCTCTCAAGTCACGGTAAAATTTTATAAGTACGCCTGATATATAAGGGGTAGAATTGCACGAAGATGCAGGACACCATACTAGTACCACCCCAAATTGAACATCTCTACATTTTGTGCTAAAAATATAATGTATTTCCCATTTTACTTAGATCCCCTTCCACAAATTGTTCGTTAGCATTTGATGTTTATAAAGGAAATCACCCAAAAAATTCTCTATCAATCTCTCTGTATTTGATTATTTGCATTTTTTCAACATTCCAGCTCCTTAACGCGGAGCGAGGGATCCTAAAAGGATCCACACTAATGTGTTTCCTATATGGCCGTGTGCAAAGGATCCTCTCTCTCACTCTCTCTCTGTCTCTCACACACACACGGAGAGAGAGAAAATTGTATTTATTTGCACAACTTCAATAAGAAATTGGTATATATTATATCAAAGAGTAAATGAATCCATTAATCTATCTGAAGCAGTCTCCACCCCCTCGACACCGCCATCCCAACCCGAAATAAGAAAACAAATACAAACAAACAAAATCAAGATCCTAATCAAAACGGGACATGACATCTACGTATACGTTAAAGATATGGAAAGGTTATAAACATTATTCTCCATAATATTTTCTCGATTGTGGTGGATTGTTTTCTTAAATAGTTGACTGTGTACACAATGTTTCCTTTTAGAGTTACTTGTAGCCCTATAAATAAGTTCTTCTACTTTGTAATAGGTACACAAGTTTATTATTTACATGTATAATATTCTAACAGTATATAAACATGTCTCAATAATGTTGCAGCCCGATATCTCTAGCATTTTCGTCAGTAAGCAGCTTTTTGCTTCTTGGCATTTGTTTTGATAGTCATGAGGAGGTGGACCACATTAACGTTCATATTTTGGCAGTACATAGTTGAGAATCTGATGATGTTGAATGGGAGAGAGAAAAGACAGATAGAAGGGTACTTTATGGATAAGAAGAAGAATGTGAATTCATGAAATTGATAATGAACCTTTAATCCAACTAAAAAAGATTGTTAAAGATCAAAATTATTAAATAGTTATGAGACTTGCTAAAAACTCACAAAAAAGTTTTTCGAAAAAATTTAAAAGCTACCAAAAACCTATTCCCTCTGAAACAAAATAGTGGTGACATCCGAAATTGGCAAAAAGGAAAATTCCATTCAATTCTCTTTCTATTACAGTTATTTTTCTCTTACGCGTTAAAAAGGTTCGGTGAGCAATGCACTTCAAGGCATAAGTCTCAATATAAATCTATAACATGATTTAAAAATTAACTGAAGTATGGAAATACACTGATAATAAACAATAAACTGTGAAAAAATGTTCATACAAAACTTTTGAAAAATTAAAGAGTGATTGTATCCGAGAACCAGCGACTGTAAACTGAGTGGTGGATAAGTAGATAGTATTTGCGAGCCCATTAGAATGTGTGGTTGAAAATGAAATTTGACCAATTTACAAATGATTAATAAATTTGCAGAACTGAGCCTAACATTCAAGTTTAAATCAAGATTCAAGGGATAAAAAAGAACGTATGCCAAAGATTTACAGCTCTAGAAAAAGACACGAGACAAACCCTATCTGGATCAGCTAAGGGACAAATCTGAGGAATCTCTAACACCGGCGAAGGGGCAGTGGCCTTTTCCTTTCGTTCGGCATCTGCATATTCTTGGTCATATTCGTACGGCACATCTTCATCAGGTACCCTAAATTCAGGCCTCCGTTCTTTCACCAATTTTCCCTTGTCCAAGCGACGTCTCTGCGTTACAAGAAAATATGTAATTATAGTTTGCGTTACATGCAAAATGTGACAATGAAATCACATAATCCAAAAGAAATAAGCTATTTTAACTTCTTAAACAAACATTTACATTGTCATCATTCTGATTCTGAGCTATATGGTCTGCTTGTTCTCCTTTATCACAATCCCCAAAATTATCAGGAGTTACAATGGCTAAATGATGTTTATCGCATTTTGTGCTGTCATGTTCCTTGTTATGAGAGTCCTCAAAAATATCGCGATTTACAGCAGTTGAACGTTGCTTATCATCTTTTGTGCCGCCATTTTCTTCATTATCAGAGTCCCCAAAATTATCACAAATAGCACGTTGCTTATCGTCTTTTATGCTGTCATGCACTTCATTATCAGAGTCCCCGAAAATATCATGAAATACAGCAGCTAGACGTCGCTGCTTATCATCTTTTGTGATGCCAAGTGATTTACTGCATGGGGAAAAAGGTTCACAATTCAAATCAATAACTGGAGAGATATAATGTATGAAATGATATAATGACGAATGTAGACTTAGCAATCACTAAATTGTCTCACTATTTATCAGTCTTTCAATGCTAGCAGTCTGTAGAATTAAATACATTTCAGTGTTAGATATGAATGAGGCATAGATTTTAGTACCAAAAAGGAATCTTAACGTAAGAATTTGGTAGTGTTAACAAATGCTGGGAAACAGACAATAAAAGCTAGCTCGTTTAGAGGAAATAAGAATTTGGTATTGCATGCAAATCAATGGACAATCAACATGAACCAGCAAGAAATGAAGTTTTCATTGTGGGCTTTATATTCTCCTATCCTTTTCTTATCAAGTATCTCTAAAGCCATATATGTTTCCTTAATAGAAAATATGTTTCAATAAACTATCAATATTTCTGAGGCCAGAAAAGAATTGAATCAACCCCTAGAGAAGTAGAAGACGACAAAAATGCAAGAACAAAAGGTGTTTTGCAGTAGCCGTAAGATGCCATCCCAGTACCTTCCTCCACTTTGATCGTGAATACAAATTTCTTGCGAACACTGAATTTTCTCCCTGCTCTCTGCATGAATACCATCAACAGCCTCTGGCTCATCCTCACTTTCCTGTCCTGCCTTGCCTTCAACTTCAGGTTCGGGCATTCCATCTTCTTCATTCTGAAACGAAAATGGCAATGAGAACATAATGTGATTCAAATTCATAGGTCATAATATGTAATGTGCTCTGCTTGAAGCAGGCAACAATGAAATCCAAAAATGTAGCCTAACTTACATTATAAAGAGCAAAACTCTAGGTTTCTGCAAGAGAATTTCCTAAACCTATTGCCACTTACTGACCTTTTATAGCAATTCAAGGAAAAAAAAGATACTAATCAGACAAAAATTATGTTAAAGCTTGGTGACCAGACAGGATCCAGTATGTGAGCTTCATCCTTAGAAAAGAAGCAATTTGATCTAATTCGGTAATTAATAACCGAGCAGATAACCGTGATATCTTACTCCATGCCAAATGCCTCAGACAGAATTTTCTAAACCATGGGAAAGAGAACCCAGTTCATTGCTCTCAACACCAAAGGTCTTTCAACTAACTACATTACAATGAGTTATGTAATTCAAAATTAAGAAAAAGAATTAGGAAGTAAAATCAATTATGCAGTGAATTCCTGGTTTAGATCAACTTTAACAGCCAAAAAATAAACAAATGATATATTTTCCCTTCAACACAAAACTCCTCCAATGCACACACGGACAAATTTTGAGTTCTTAGAAAGGGAAAAACTTTAAAAATTGGGATTTCTAGAAAAACTGGCATAACTAGATCTGA